CCTTGAGGGTGGTGGGCATGGGGAACTCTTCTATTGCTCTTACCTTGGAATTGATTTTTACGCCGTTCGCCGATAGGGTAAAGCCTAGAAAATCGACTTCGGTTGTGAAAAACTCACATTTGTCTATTTGTATTTTCATATTCGCCTTGCCTAGGGTCGTGAAGATCATTTCTAGGTGTTTGGCGTGATCGTTCTCGGACTGACCATAGACGATAACATCGTCGATGCAAACGTAGCATATTTTTCCAACGTGTTCCCTTAGAATATCATCTAAGGCCCTCTGGAATATTGATGGGGAATTTTTCAGCCCAAATGGAAGTCTGGTAAACTCATATTTACCTCCATTTACTGCAAATGCTGTTTTTTCTATATCTCTCTCCTTGAGTGGAATTTGAAGAAATGAAATATTTGTTCTCGCCTAATTGTGCGATTATTACTCCGGTTTCAGGGATCGGATACCGATCCGAAATTGTTACCGCGTTAAGTTTCCTATAGTCGATGACTATACGATACTTCTTTTCTCCTGACGCATCGCTCTTTTTAGGGACCACCCATACCACCCATTGTACGGCGACCGTGAAGGTCTTATAATGCCGTGCAACAACTGACGTAATTGTTTTTCTACTTCTCCTCTTAGAGAAGCACGGTAGGGGTAATGTTTGCTAAACACCGGAGAGTCCGATGTTGTTCTTATCTCGCCTAACACTTTCGTGGTGTAGGTCAGTTTTTCGTCTGGGTCTGCGAACAAGGTCTGAGTGTGTTTGAGTAATACGAGCTATGAGGTTTTCCTGTGTATTTGACATATGTTCAGTTCTTACTTTAATATTATTGACCACTTGAGTTGCTAGTTGTTTTATTTTAATTCTATAGTTACCATTTATTATTAATATATCGTTTTTAACGTCAATAACAGCGTTAAGCTGTTTAAGGGAATCATTTCCTAATATCCCATGGAAAGTTTTAAGTGTGGGTAACAAGAAAATTTGATTGGCTTATCTTTTTGTGAGAACATCTTTTTGTGGTGTGTTATTTTTGTTTGTCCACCAACTGAGTTTGCGAAAAATGTCTTTTCGTTCTGTTTAGGATTCTAAATTAAGTTGGGTTGGATATAATTTTGGTTTGAACCGGTGTCGATGAGGAAATTTAGTGTCGTTCCGGTCCCCGTTACACAATTGAAATAAAGCAGCGAGGAAAAATTTAGTCTAAAAACCATGGTCGGGTTATATTCGATTGTGCCTTCGCACGCGATCTGATCAGATAAAGCGGTAGCTCCTTCTAACTCTGCGCTTTCGAAAAAGGCTTGTTCATCAACGTCTGTGTAATATAAGGCACACGGTTCAGTCTCTTCTACTGCTGGCTCTAAAGCTTCAGTAGCTATATGGAACTGTCGTGAGAATTTCGAAGGAGGTCCGATGGTTGCAGTAGGGGGGCGTTTGCCCACGAAATCGTTTGCTTGGGGCCTGTTCATATAGTTAATATTTCCGGTCCGCATGGAACCATCTAATTCCATCGGTACGGGTTTGGGAGCCATTGGGCGCGGAGGCGCCGGATAGGGTGGTCTAGGCCCAAAGAACTGTTGGGGTGTAGCGTATTGTGCATATGTCGGCTGAGGGAATTGTTTGACTTGTTGACTTATTGTTGGTTGTGTAGTCTGGTAGTTCGCGACTGGTCTTGGGATGTAATACAGTGTCGGATCAGGTCTTCTCCACTGTCCGGAGCTATTATTTGGTATAATTTTTGGTGGTTGGTATTTAGGATTAGAGTTAGCTGAAAAATGTCTAGGTGGTAGAGGTGGCGGTTGTTGTCTAATTTTGGGTATAAAGGAATTTCTCTGTTCTTGGTTCTCTACTTAGCTGCACAGTTGCAGGGCGTGGCGAGTCGAGGCAAATCGCCATTTAGACATCGCACGAACGTGTCAAAGGCTTTGCCTCGGTAACTACTTATCAAAGCCCTTACTATTTCGGGTGTGTCTTCTTGAACACTTATCTGATTAAGAATCAAAGACAACTGGTGGTATACCGTTTGATAAAATTCAGTAACGGACAGACAGACAAAACAGAGTTTTCCAATCTCGCTTATCGGCGTAATGTTCTGTAAGACACTTGGAAATGGCTTTCCAATTCATTGTGGCAATGTACGACTCAAGCACAGTATCCGCTTCTCCTATTACTTTATTGCGTATGGCTAGAGTAATTAAATAATATTTATAGGTAAGCTCTTGGCCCTTATATATGGCCATTATTCTTTCAAAGTTTTTCTTCCATGACCCGAATGCGGTTTTATCTCCTGAGAATTCCCTTAAACGCGTTATTTCGGGAACCTTTTCTGAATCTTCACCCTGAGTTGGACTCGTGAGGGGGATATCGGCTAAATGCTCGCCATTTTCTCCGTTGATGGCCTGGCGTATTATTTCGGCTCCCTGAAGTGAGTCCTTAATTAAAGACAAAATCACCTGCTTCAGCCCTGGACTGGCGTATGGGTTACTAGATGAACCGAGTTTCATATTAGCTAGCGCGTCGGAAAGATCCTTTTCCTGCATTTCTGATGAATCGGACAACTTGAGCCTCTTGCTTTTTTTTAATTTTAATTATTCTAGACCCAGTGGATGGTTCTCTCCTTCTATTTTGGAGGGTCCCTTGGGAGTCGCGGAATTGGAGTATGTTATACTGCATGTGCAGTGGTTTGTTTATTTATCGATTTACGTTTTGTTATTGGGCACTTGATGCTTGGGCGTGGTAAAATTTAAAAATTATAACAGGGTTTGTAGATAGGTTTTCAGATTACTTAATCTAAATGAAATAATAGGGTATATCGATCTTAAAATATTCCAAAGTTGAGAAGCAAATTTGTAAAATTTAAATTTTTCCTTTTTTCTTTTTAAGTTTGTTTTTAATCTTATGAAAGTATTTTTGTTTATTTTCTTGCTTAATTTTTTCTGTCACTTAAACATTAATCCTACACGATAAGTAACATTTTATCCCGCGGTGTAACGGCAAAGCGATGTAGCGACGGCGGGTGACTGGGCATGTCTCGCAGGATCGTCGTAAGGATTGTCTTTGGAGGCACTTTTCGGAGTACTTAAACTTTCGCGCTTTGTGGCTCCTTTTGAGGCACTTTTGTTTCGCGACGCGTTATCCTTCGTTGGTTTCGACCCGGTCCCTGATCGGGCGCCAATTAAAACAATCGTTGATTGTTTTTCTTAAAAAAAAACACAACTGTTTATTTGTAGTGCTTCTTAAGAACTAACTTGACAAAATTTGGTTTTATATTTATTAGGCTCTCATTGCCGCTGCTGCTGGCGTTTTGTCGCCGTTGGTTTGTCGCTGCTGCTGCTGCTGTCGCCGATGCCGCTTTGACGCTCCCGCCCAATTGGTTGGTGTCGGGTGCCCAGGTTGAATCCCACGGTGGAGCTGTCCCACGGTGGCTCTTAGTAATGCGCTGATTTGGCGCACGTGTCGATTATTGGTCATGCACCTTAGCCGTGATCGTTGGGCTGGCTGCATGAGTACTTCCTCTTAGTATTTGCAATAACTGTTCTTAACTTATTTATCAAGTATCAACCACCACAAAGATATAAATCAAGTTAATAATCCAACTTGTATAGCCCAAAAATTTAAGCCACAATTTTTTTTGCAATAGACTTTTTGAGAATACAAATATATTCTATGGCACAATAAGATGTACTATCGAGATCGGTTAAGGAACACAAAGGTTAGGTGACCAGCAACCTCTTACTCGTTATTACATAAAGAAGATCATCATCATCAGCATACGAAAATTATAAAATTTTTTCTACTGATAAAGGAGATATATTCCCAACATTAATTATTATTTTGTCTATCTAGTAAATTGTAGCATCCAAGCATGAAGTTATTAATTATTTACATTTAATTATGTTTTGGGTACGTATTTCCATGCTGTGCCCAACAGGTTAACTCCCTTGTTTCGTTTGTTCTTTTACTGAAATCGAAGTTATAGTGCGAAAAGTGGAATATGTCTATCTTATTTCATAATGGAGTGTGTAAAAAACTATTGGCTCTATACATCGTATGAACGCAAGAATCTCAGAACCTAAAAGAGCTAGAGAGTTGTTTCCGATATTCGATAACTTGCCCCGTTTCCAAGTAATCGATAAAAATCGATATTGAAATCCTGTTTTTGTTTTTAGCAATTTCGGCAACTTGCCGTATTGCCCATCAATTCAAGCCACAATATATATACAATTGGAATTTTGAGAGTACACAAATATTCTTTATTCTATTCTACAATAAGATGTACTGTCGAAAATTTCATTAAGATCGTTTAAGAGACACAAAAGTTATGTGCGCACGTGTTAGCAGCATAGCTGCTGCGCAAATTTCAAGAATTTTCTTATACATGTACACACACACACATGCATGCGTGTTTGCTTTGAATTCTATTAACAGCATTGCAATTGCGATTGTATTGTTTTCTGTGCTGGTATTTTGGTTTTTTTTCTCATTAAAGCTCAATTATTGGTGTGGCCCTTGAGTAGAGGCAGCGGTAAGTGGTGCGGTTAGTTGCGAGTTCAAACCCTGCCACAAAAACAATTTGCATTTGGTGTTGGAAGAAGAGGGTTCAGGGTATCCCCTAGTCGGGAGCTCCCGACTAGAACCTCTTACTTGTTATCTTTGTTAAGATGTTTTGAATTTAATCAGCAATTTTGAACTGGCCGATTCCCCGGACAGATCTGCAAAACGTTTAAAATCAAGTTACTATTTCATATGGTATGTCTTCTATAGAAACAAGCGGTAAGAAGCTTTGGGTATATTGTCTTCGGTTGTCAAAGATAGCCGTTATTTCTTCTTGTGTATATGTTAATATATTATCGACATGTTTATTCAAATGACCTACTACGGCTTTTATTTTATTGTCATTATAAAGTAATTCGGCTAATACATTATTGCTTTATTAATTCATTTTAAAAGACAGTGTATTGTCATTACAATTAATATGAAATTTGTTTGATTATTTTTTAGATAAAAGCGATTTCTTTTTACCCGGAGATACTGACGAAATAAACGAATTCTGTAAAAACTGCAAGGATTCATCTAATATCGAAATTTCTGCGTTTGTTCCAAACGTTAAAATTGTTATAGAGTAAGTAATACAAGTAAGAGGTTCTAGTCTGGAGCTCCCGACTAGAGTTTGGTGAATCTAGCTCATATTATATGCCGAAATTGCTCCAAAAAAAGGATTTCGAGATCGATTTTTATCGATTACTTGGAAACGGGACAAATTATCGAGTATCGATCTGCGCGAACACTAGGAGGACCTACAGCTAAAATTTCAAGTGTCTAGCTCTTATAGGTTCTGAGATCCTTGCGTTCATAAATACGGACAGACAGACGGACAGATAAACGGACATGGCTAGATCGACTCGGCCATTGATGCTAATCAAGAATATATATACTTAATGGATCGGAGATGCTTCCTTCTGCCTGTTACATACATTTGCACAAAAACATTATACCCTTTTTACGCATTTTTAATGGGTTCAGGGTATAAAAAGCTGCGCATTTGCAAACAGGGGCATCAATTTGTCACTAATCACGTTGTACGCATCCCACCATATAATTAGAGGTTTTGTTAATTGAATTGCGAGTCAGCTCATTATATTTTATACCCTTAACCCAAAATGTGAATAACGATTTAATCCAAATGTATGTATGTAACACCACTAACCATACAATGCATAGACTTGTCAAACGTCGGAATAATCGTATACCGATAAATCGTCAACGACTGAGCCCCATGGGTGTCCGCGACCATTTTAGTGTGCCCAGACAAAGTAAGACTGCTGAGAGTGGCAGCCGAACGCCGGCCTCGACAACCGAACGTTCAGTATGAAGCCGCCTCCTGCTCTGCGCACAACGTTGCTGCGGCTGGTGCAGCTTCGTAATATATGTATGTTAGTATTAAATCTTTTCAGCCCAAGTACATACATATGTGTATGTATATGCGTGTGCAGAGTGCGCCTCGCTCACACTTATTGCTTTGCGCACTTGTGTGCATCTCCTTCTCCCTGCATAGCTTCTCAAAAACCCCGAGATCTACAAGCATACCAATGTTTGTGTTGTGTGGATGTGCGCACAAGTAGATCGCGGCGATTGTCGCGAGCCAGAGATTTTTTCTTCAATTGTCTGCCCTTTCTGCCTGTGGTGGCAAAAGGCACACACATTCAAATGCTCTATCATGTATTTCTTCGTCCAGTCAGGCATAATGAGAAGAACCTGATATATTTATATTTATTAAAAACTTAAATGACCTAAATGATATATTTATATATTATATTTTAATATTTTTTTTTTACTGTGGGGACCAAATAAGTGCAAACGAGCGGCAAGTGCGGTTCACCTGTTTTCGTTGCCTGTTCACACATGTGTGCCTTACGCGGCCGCAAGCCCACCGTCGCCCAAATTTACGCACCCATTGATGAAAATATCTCTGTCTCACGACAAACCCTTGATCGGCTCATTCGCACACATTTTTGTGTGTGTGTGTATGTCTGTGTGTAGAGCTCGAAATTCAGAAATGCCAAAAACTTCAAATTTGGTCAAATTTGCATCGGGCAGGCAGGCAACCAACACGCACACAAACGCAAAAATGCTTCCATCCATATAGAAAAGTGTGTAAGTGTGTGTGCTTGACAGGCCCAAAAAGTTATTATGCACACATGCCAGCGTTCAGGTACCCTTACGCTTAAACCATGCATGGAAAATAGGAGTTTTGCACATGAACAGGCCAAACCCTTTAATAATGTCACCCAACTGCTTACTCGAAAGAGTGTGCGTGTGCACAAGTAGCAAGTCGAAAAAATTGAACATTTTCAATGTTTGGTCTTTTCTTAAAATATTCGACAAGCCGACGAAGAATTACCCTTGCAGAAATACGACATAGTTTTTTTTTAATTTTAAGCAAATTTGGTCCCCACAGTAAACAAAAAAATTAAAATATAATATATAAAAATATCATTTAGGTAATTTAAGTTTTTAATAAATATAAATATATCAGATTCTTCTCATTATGCCTGACTGGACGAAGAAATACATGATAGAGCATTTGAATGTGTGTGCCTTTTGCCACCACAGGCAGAAAGGGCAGACAATTGAAGAAAAAATCTCTGGCTCGCGACAATCGCCGCGATCTACTTGTGCGCACATCCACACAACACAAACATTTGTATGCTTGTAGACCTCGGGGTTTTTGAGAAGCTATGCAGGGAGAAGGAGATTCACACAAGTGCGCAAAGCAATAAGTGTGAGCGAGGCACAATCTGCACACGCATACACACATATGTATGTTTTTGGGCTGTAAGGATTTAAAACTAACATACATATATTAAGAAATAGCATCAGCCGCAGCGACGTTGTGCGCTGAGCGAGATGCGGCTTCATACTGAACGCTCGGCTTTCGAGGCCGGCGTTCGGCTGCCACTCTCAGCAGTCTTACTTTGTCTGGGCACACTAAAATGGTCGCGGACACCCATGGGGCTCAGTCTTTGACGATTTATCGGTATCCGATTATTCCGACGTTTGACAAGTCTTTGCATTGTATGGTTAGTGGTAACACACACAAGCAAGCATTTTCCACCCGATAAAGTATACTGTATGTCGAAATTGGCTTCACGCATTGAATAAAAATATCATTTTTCAACTAACTAAAAATATAAATGCAAACCGTTAATTTTTAATTATTTTTTATTCTCCATCCATGTGTCGGAGCGTTCAAAGTTTTTAATGTTGGACAAAGTAGCTCGAATTCCTCAGATATCTGAGAACATCTGAACCATAGCTCTTGCAAGGCGCCTTAGGAATGAATGAAATTTTACGGTTTCCCTTGAAACAGTAAATGAGCCAATGCTTCGCAACAATTACAAATCCAGAGCTACGCGGCAGAAATCACTCATTTCTCAAAAAAATATTAAGAATCGTTTGTGCTTCTGCACAATTCTCAGTAATTTGATCATTGGGACGACGCCATTTTGTGATGGAACAAAAATGATGCTGTAATACCATGACGTACCAAGAATTACAACATAATTACCAAAAAAATTTGCGAATTGACGGTGATGACTTGGGGCTGAATTTTAAACATCGAAATTCGGGATTGATCCTTTATTGAGACAGCTGTGGATACACAACAATATCTCAATATTTTGAATTGCCATTTAGGAACCAGTGTTTTTAAATTGGCGTTCATGAGAGATTACAGACCACACTTAAAGTGTTCTTATGATAATGGCTCTAAGCATGAAATTATACCCCTATTACTTAGGAAAGTGATGCATACACATGCCTATAGTCCGAAATAAAATTACATAGAGAATATGAGGCATTTCTTGAAGTTGCTAAAATACAGCCAACAAAAAAGCCCGAACTTAACGCTGCCAGGAACAATAATTACCGACCACTTAAGAAATTACATTTCTTGAAGTTGCTAAAATACAGCCAACAAAAAAGCCCGAACTTAACGCTGCCAGGAACAATAATTACCGACCACTTAAGAAATTACATGTACGATTTACATGTAAGATTTATAATGACAGAAAGTAAAGAGTGTTTAAAAATAATAGGCTAGCTGATTCCAACTTAACACTGCTGCTCACAAAAACCGACTATCTCGCGATAATAGATGACTGCCCATCTCTATGCGTTTGCTATCGCTAGCTTATCGATCGTAGTTAGATATATGTTTATTATCAGAATAGTGTTAACCTCCTCTCATCGTTATCGGATACAAAACACCACGTCATGTTATCACTGTTTGTATCTGTAGTATTTGGTTCTTCGTTATGTGCTACCTTTCTGACGGCACACCGACAGTAACGTTTGACTTTGGTAATTTCATATGCACCTAGATATTCGCTGGTCAAGTTACGTCCTGCGACGAACTGCGCTCCCTTGATCCCTACCATGTCTCCCACTCTGTAGCCGTGCTCAGCTCGACGTTTTTTGTCAGAAATACAATTATAGACAACATGGCTATACAGTTCAGCGCCTGCAAGATGTTCTGTTTCATTTGGTCACGCAGCTCTTGGCGCTCGTCTTTAAATTGCGTTACTAACTCTTCGTTGAGTACGTCTAAGAATCGACCCCAGCTTGGCTGTGCATTTTAGTTCCAAACAAAATCTCAAATGGTGATTATTTCAACGTGGCACATACGATTTAGCGCCTTTTTGTCCTATGACCTTCTACCACTTTGTTGAATCATGGACAGACTACTTTGCGATGATACCCAACATTGAACGGATTACTCGCTCAATCTGGCTATTGCCTTTCGCCACACCTGTCGCTGTCCAAACATGCTCGACTTTGTTTTCGTTAAGAAACTCACTGAAAGCGTCTCACCCGATTGCCCACTTTTTACTGATAATAATTCAACTGATACAGTTAGCTGTCAACTATTGAATGTGAAGGCCTCCATATACAGGATTCACTAGGAAACTTCTCGGAACGTCTGCTTTAGTTGTTGTCTATTTAAACGCTACACAGTCAGTGGTAAGATTAAATTGGAGCCCCAACAGATAGTGTCGAATCTTCTTGAGTGCGAGGTATGCTGCATTGACATCTAAGTAGTAACTGTGACGGTTAGACTCAGCGTCTGTAGTTTTTCTGCTAAAATAATAAACCGGGTGAAAGCTTCCATTAAACTTCTCCAGTAACACAGCTCCGAAACCTTCCTTGGACGCATCCGTGTGGAGCTTTGTTGACGCTTACCGCTAATAAATGTGTATGTCAGGCTCGATTAAAAATAGCTGTTTTAGGCATGTTTTCTATTTAATTTTTAGACCAAATTGCGCAACAGTCTCCAGAACCAACTTAGTTTTTTGCATACATATATCCAGCCACGCGGCGTAAACAATAGTATCGTCCATATAAAGCAGAACATCAGAGCTAATCAAATTTTGAAATATATACAATTAACGAGCCGAATAAACGCGGCTGGGTTTTTAAAGCCGAGACCGCTTTATTAAATTTGAAAAGCCCTTAATTTGTGACATAGGCTGCATATGATGTGCTCTAACCTTAAATGAGAACATGAACATACTTCAAGGTCCATTATGGTAAACCACTTAGCCGGCTGCAGCTTCCTCAATA